CACATTAAACTTGATATAAATGAAAAGAAAATGACAAGATCAAAATTATAATAAAGAAATGTTTTAATTCCACACTAAATATTAAGTTATACCTTAGTTAATTAATTCATTTGTAAAATAAAAAGAAAAAGAAAATTTTCGAACTTTTAATACCTTTTTATCTGCCAAAAAATAAATTTTATCAATTTTCTTTCCTTTATCAGAAATGATTAATTCCTTCAATAAATCTTCAATGCCTTTAGTAGCATTATCATCGGAACGTATAGAATAACAAATTTTTTTATCATCTTTTCCAACGTAATAAAACATTTCATAAGGATAATTAAAAACATTTAAGTAACGTATTGTATCTTCAATAAACCTTGTTAGCTTTCCATCATTGTTTGTTAAAATTTGTGATTTTAACATTTGGAATGTATTCTTATTTGAAAATATTAATTCAACTTCGTCTATTGATGATGAAGCATTATATATATTTGAGTTTGGTTGTTTTCTTCGTGACATTATAAAAAGAGAGTATATATATATTTTTTTTCCTTTTTTTATTCAAGGGATGGCATATAATGTATGATCACGACTAAATTTACTAAATTTGTATTCTGTACTACGAATAGTTTAATAATTGAACCTTGTAGTAATCCAAATTGGATTATCCCTTGTAATCAAAATATTGGGTAAAATTTTTATGACAATGGAAAGTGTAGTAGTATCCAAAGACCTCAATTAGGGATCCTTATTTTACAAGATGCCGTCAATTTCTTGGCATCAGAGATTTTAAGGTAATTCATTCCAAAAACAAGTTATTCTGGGAAATCTTTGCCGCTTTTCATGAGAAACTCGAAACCTGTTAAGATTTGATCATTGGCAAAATTTTATGGTGCACAAAAATTAGTGAGAGAGATGTTGGGATCCAGTCTGAAACGAATCAGATTCATTATCCTAAATCTTATTATTGAATTCATTCATAAATTTTGCAGCGTATAAGTCAACGATTGAAATTAATATTTTATTATTCGCTCATTAAAAATAAATTAAATAAAAAGGTGACTGAAAATTTATACTTGAACACTTATATATCTGATATCCAAATATAAAGATAACTTATCCGGGTCCAGTTAAGGCCAACTCATAAAACTTTTATTAAAATTTTTTTTTCTTGCTCATAAATAAGGTGGTTCACCGCGCTTTTCATACATTGCGAACTGGACTAACTAGGTTATATTTGGAGTTGATCGACTTGAAATGTCATTTAAAGTTAATCATTGATAATGCACTACCATCATTGATTTGGCTGCGTAAATTCAACCATTGAAATTATTAAGAATTTAATCATTTTATTGTTCGCTCGTTAAATTAATAAACACCAAATTAATTAATTAATAGTTTGAAATTTATACTTGACACTTGTACCATATATACAATTGAATTTATAAAGTTAACTACTGATTTAAATTCTGGATGATTTTTAATTTATTCTTTGCTTGGCATCAGATATCTTTTCAAAAAAAAAAAAAAGATATTTCATCATGACGTTCGCGTTTGCGAAACGAAATTGAGATTTCATTTAAAGTTAAAGAGCTATACCATTTTGATTATTGACATTAAACTAGGAAACGGGAACCGTTGTTGAGTCCGCAACGATCCAAAATCGGAGATTTCATTGGTTAAAAATCACGTGGACGGACAAGAAACGCAATAATCACGAGACCGAAAATTTTTCATA